CCAACTCTAAGATTGTGTGAATCTGAGATTTTTGTCTTGGCTTTTCAAATAGAACTTGAATAGGTTTTTCCATAAAAATAGAGGTTATATTATACAACATTATAAACATAGAACTATACTATATTTATGCACTTTGTGAAAGTAGACTTCTGGGGTTGGCTTAGGAACCTAACCATCCTTGATCATGTTTGTTTGGGAAAATACAATGAGTTCTAAGCAACTGACTTAGAAATTAACTTTTGTAAACTCTTGGTGACTTGGGGCTACTTATTAGAGAGAATATTTGAGTGAATGGGCCAAAGGCCCAAAGAGATGGATGAAGATCTTGTTATAAACCACAGTCACATACTTCCATTGGATTGTAAACTGCATGAAGACAGAGAAGATGTCTCATCTAAACTTTGAATCTTTCCCAGGGTATAGCAGAATGCTCAGCACATATTAATACTTATATATATATTTTTTGCTTTCAGTATCTTTCTTTTTTAAATTTTATTTAAATAATATTTTATTTTCCCCCATTCACATGTAAAGACAATTTTTAACACTCATTTAAACAATTTTTTGAATTCCAAATTTTCTCCCTCCCTTACCTCCCCCTACCTGGGACAGTAAGCAATTTTGTATACATGTTCAGTCGTGTAAAACATATTACCATATTATCATGAAAGAAGACACAGACCCAAAGGAAAAAAACATACAGAAAGTGAAAAATGGTATGTTTCAATGTGCATTCAGACTCCATCAGTTCCTTCTCTGGAGGTGGATAGCATTTTTCATCATGAGACCTTTGGAATTTTCTTGGATCACTGTATTGCTGAGAATAGCTAATTACTTTTACATTCTTAAGTATGGAAACTTCCTCTACTAACCTAGAGTAATATATAGTAAGTAAATCTGATGTGAAGGTCAGAGAGGTTAAGTGACTTTTAAGTAGCACACATCCAGTAAGTGGCAGAAACGTAATTTGAATCCTGGTCTTAGAATTCAATTCACTAAGTAAGTGCCTTGCTTTTCACACAATAGGAGCTAAATAACTATGTCTTTAATAAATCAATTAGTCCTCTCTTCTGTGTTGTCATTCCCAGGATTTCCTAGAACTGGGAAGGTCAGAACTGAGCTAAGTGGAACTAACAAAAAATGAATTTGTGTGTACATGTGAAGGGTTTTTTGTTTTGTTTTTAGAAATTAGACTTGGCCCTACAATTCCTGATGAATATCCTGGGACAAGTGCTCGTATTATCCATACCAGAGAAATGTGAAAATTTTAGCCCAGACATTGCTCAACGTTCCAAGAAACCACTGGAAATTCCCCTCCCAGAAGTCCATCCATGTGGATATTTCTTGGAATTGCCATACAATGAGGTCCCTTTCTCCTGTTTCAGACCACGAACCAAAATGTCACACAGGGAAAATTATACAATACATTTATTGTCACAATAGTTCTCCCTCAAGGCAATACTATGGAGTTGTTCTTTTTTATGGTGGTTTCTATGTTCTTGGCTTTACCTATTACTCACTCTTTTTATAGGTGGTTTTCATGGCACAGAAGACCATCCCAACAAAGAAATCTTTTTTACTGTTATACAATTCACACTCAGCCCAGTGACCCTGAGCCCTCATTTTTTTATTTTTTTTTTGCAGCTATAGAATCAACTGTAAATCCTTTGATTTGGCTGGAAACCAATATTGATTACAAAAGTTTCAAGGGTTCCTGGGTTTGTTTTTCTTGTTGTTTACTAAATCTTAGATCAAGATCTGAAAGGGATCTTGAAAGACATCTAATCTGACCCCCTCCTATTACAGGGTAAGAAACTGACGTTCAGAGAGGTTAAGGGACTTGTCTAGGGTTATACAGCAAATAAGTGTCAGAGGCAGGTTCTGACCTCAGGTCTTCCTTACTCCAAGCTTACTGTATACACTATCCTCTATGGTTGTGAATGGAGCATAAACTGTCAGATTTGGTTGCTTTTTTGGTCAGAGAGGGGTTACCAGGTAAGAATTACATATTTTTGATTTCTTAGGAGATGCTGTTTTCAGGCTCAAGCTAAGCTTCTGATCACTATTCGTTAATGGAGAGAGGAGGACCTCAAAGTTTTATATATAAGCCATGATTTCCTTTCCACCAAATGAACACATACATAGTAGATAGCAAAGAAGCCCCTTTATCTGGGTCTAGCAAAACAGAAATCAGAGAAATACACAGGAGAATGTATACCAGATGATAAGAGTGAAGGAGCTCTCTCAATAGGAGCTAGGTAACTCAGCTCAACCAAGAGAGAATCCTAGATCTTATCCAAAAGGAAACTCCCTGAAGTCTCTAGTATAGCAGGATGGGAATTTTTTTTCCTCTAGCTCTCAATAATTCCAGCTTGCCCCTCTGCAGGCTTGGGGCATTGATCTTCACCAATGAGGAGATGGACCTTGGGAATCAGGTTACATCCACATCAGGGAAACTTCCCATGAGACCAAGAAAATGTAGCCATGTCCTTCCAGAGCAAGAATTCTTAGCCTGTTTTATGTCATGGACCCCTTGAGCAGTCTGGTAAAGCCCATGGACCCCATCTCAGATGAATGTTTTTAAATACTATCATGAGTGGACTTATAATAACTGAAGAAACAAAGTCTGAGCTTTGTGATTTATTAGCAAATTGTGCATAATAAACTGGTTCAAAGGCCCCTCAGTAGGCACAAAGACCCGGAATACAGATTTTACACAGATTTTTATACATTAAAAGAAAACAATAAACAAGACACAACAGAGGATATAGGATTAGGTAATCTGATTTCTTATTGGAAGAAAGATTAGGGATTTTCCGAGTCGGGAAGGGGAAAGGGAGCAAGTAGAATTCCCCGAAATCAGGTGATTTACAGGAAAACAACAAAGTGGAGGTTGTTCACAAAATGGAGTCAGGGTTCACAATATGGAATCAGTTTGGTTCTTACACTTCCTCTCTTTGATCCTTGGAGAGCAGCTTGTCCCCTCCCCCCATGGCTCACTATCTATAAGCTGAATTTATAAGCTTTTTTATATGTTCATTATCTACCTTATACACCAAGAAAAGACCACTGGGAAGGACCCTTTTAAGTGGTTTAGAGCAACTAATACAGAGTCTAAGAACAATAATGAGGCATAAAGCAATGATAACCCATTTGCCTATGGTGGCTTATATGCCATTCCCTTGTAACTAAGTGAACCAAGAGGAAGGATTCCACCAGGGGTCACTTGGTTTAGGCAATTGCATTTCTGCTATAAACTTGCTGGATTTCACAAAGATTTGTCACAGTATCTCCTAATTGGTTAATATAGGAACAACAAGATTGATTGATCACAGTACAGGCATAGCATCTGTGAAGCCATAATAAAGTTTAAGACCATATGGTTTTTTTAGACCATTTGTGCTAAATAATCAACTTCAAATTGGAGGGAGGAGACAGATTCATTTGCGGCCTGTGTGAGTTTCTCAGTTTCACGTGAAAGGTTTCTAATAGCTTGTTGTAGTGCTGTGGACCCCTACAAAATGGAAATAGGGACCAGAGAATCTTCATCTCTAGCTCAGATTCTTTCACAGGATTTTGAATTATATTCACTTCTCCACTAGCTAAGGTCTCTTCTCTTTTTTTGATGTTTAAACCACCATACTCCCTAGTTTCTGGTAGGTTTTTTTTCCCCCCACCAGTCCCTTTATATGATTAAAGACTGATATTGATGGGATCAGATACACATCCAAAACCAATTCAAGGGAAAAGAGGAATAAGTTTTACTGCCACAACAAAGAATTGTTCCAAGGTTACTAGTACCCAAGGAACTTCTGAAGGAGGATACTTAATTCCCCCAAAGTTTCAATTATTCTCGTGATATAAATTTGTGCTGAAGATTACATCATACTTAGCCATTATAAGTAAGGTTGACCAAAGAAATAGCAACTGAGGTATCTTGTCTTTAATATCATAAAAGAGATTAGTTTTTAGCACAAATAAAAGGGTATCTTTGATAATATCAGGAAAAGCAAACATTAACTATACATCTTTCCATCTCCTAAGTCAACACTATCATTAGGACTTTGCTTCTTGGTGACACAGAAATGAATACTCAGAAAGGGAGTGGCAACTACAAGCAATCCAGTTCTAAATTTGATGGCATCAAGGGTCCCATTAAATTTGAAAATAACTTGTTTGTTATAAATGAGAGAAATGATTATTAATAACCAATATTTGGAGCTGATTGAGAGCTCTCCCCTTCTTCCAAAATCCTGTTTTTAAGTTCAGTCTCTTGAAGGAAGTTACTGATAATGAGATTGAATTGACTCTTCATCTAGTTCAGACCCCACCCAACCTTACAAGGAATTTAATCGAAGGTGGGGAAGCCCATTGTGTTGTATTCAAACTTTGGTAGAGACAGATCTTTTTGTCTAGATAGCCCAAGGCTTGGGGTGGTCAGAGTATAGAGATAGTTTTTCTGTCCAAGGGTGATGTGATGTCACTCTCAGCCCCTCATTGAACACCTGCTCTTCAAAGGGTATATAAACTGTGAGCCCACCGCCATGATTGTCTTCGGTCTAAGAGAGAGGCCAAATGACCACTCTTTTATTAATAATGTGTTGGCCTTATTAAAAAAATTATTAAATTATCCAGAAACTATGTCTCTCAAACCTTTTTAATTGTCACATAAAGTTGGGTCAGTGATATTTGTCTTGGCTTGTTATCTTCTATTTTTCTTCGGGGGGGGGGCATAAATACTACAAGTGACTAAAGCAAAGGGCATAACAGCCCCTTTCAAAGGTGGTGTTTTAGGATACTTGGAGTCAATGTAATCTGTTGGCATTGGGAGAATTTCATTTTCAGTAATAGGGAGTACTGTTCATTGATCAGGATCACTCTCATGTATATGATGACAAAACCAGCATCCATGGGGCCCAGTTGCTTTAAGAAAATACAAAGCATGTCCTATGTCACTATGAAGTTTACTAATAGTATTAAGTCTTTTTCAATCCTCCTAGGAGTAGTGGAATTTGGAAGGAGCTATTGGTGATAACGTCAGAATTAAGCAACAAGAAGGAAATGAGGAAGACTGAAAACATATGATGAGCATGACTGTGACACATAAAGCAAACGGTATCGTAAAAAATATCCGATTTCTCATGGTTGACAATTTTTTATTCCCTAGATTAATGGGTGAAGGAGAAACACCAGGTGGTGGTATTAAGATAAAGCAAAATAAAAAGATTTTCAGATATGTTATTCTTATGTCAAACAGTAAGGAGAAGGTTTTATGTGGGCACAGTGTATCCAAGAGCCTTTTTCTCTGATCTTGATTGCAGTTGGGATGGTCAGCAATACTTGGAATGGGTCTTTTCAGGCAGTTTGGGTTCTGCTGGTCCGCTAGAAATTCTTGGGGTAGACCTTATCTCTCAGGTGAAAATGATGTAGTGAAATATCCAAGCAACTAGCTTGTACTTGAACCCCCTGCATTGTGAAGTTCCCTCAGTCTGTTTTGCAGTTCCTATATATAAGAAGCAACAGAAGCATTTCCTCCCAGTAATGATGTATATGCTGGGGAGAAAGGCTTTGCCTTCATAGGAGGGTGACCAAAGAGAATTTCAAAAGGAAGAAGATGTAATTCCCACCTTGGTCTGCTTTGTTGATGAAATAAAGCAAGAGGGAGAACTTTAGACCATTTAAGGTGGCTCTCAGTGCAGTTTGCCAACCTGATTCTTAAGTTCTTTGTTCATATGTTAGATTTGACCAGAGCTCTGGGGGTAAGAAGGGGTGTGAAACCCGGGAGTTACCCTAACAGGAATAAATTTGGGAGAGAACCATGTCAGTGAAATGAGATGAGTAGGAGGGTCAAAGCGGGGCATGATCTCCGCTAGAATAATTTTAGCAATGAAGGCTGTTGTGGCCTCGGAGCCAGGAAATGCTTTGACTGAGTGAGCTGATTAATGACAAGGCAGACCTTATAATGGCCAGACTTAGGCATACATATGAAATCAATTTGTAAGTGCTCAAAAGGAGTGTAAGTTAGGGGGCAGCCAGGAAAGCCAATGAGACAGAATGCATGTTGATTAAACACCTGATGAGTAGGACAGGAGGCACAAATACACACAGCAACAAGGGTAATAATAGGGGTGATCCACGTCCTTCTAGTAGTATCAACAATTCCTTGTGTGCCAAAATGGCCTTCCTTATGGACAGACTGGCATACCTGGTGGTAGAAACCCTGAGGCAGGAGTGGTTTTCCTTCCATAGTCACCCAGACCCCAGATAACCTGCTCTGCATGAAAACACTGTTTCTACTTTGCAATTTCAGAGTCATTGTAAGATAGAGAGAGGTCAACATTATCAGAAGCAGAAAGATGAAACAGATGCCAGGAGCCCTCAAGGGCAGCAAGTTTTACAGCAGTGTCAGCATAATTGTTACCTCTTGAAACAGGGTCAGTACCATTAGTGTGAGTAGGAGAATGGACAAGCCAGAGCTAAGAAGGTATAGGACAGATGAAAGTTCATCTACGTATAGTGCATTTGCAATGATCTTACTGGAAGTCAAGGCACCCCTCTGCAATCATAGCATCCTGACAGCCTGACAAACTCCAAAGGCATCATGTGTAGATGGTTGCACTTTGTCTGTCAGCCAGATGGCAAGCTTGTGTAAGTGCAATCAGGCAATTTGGGTGCTGAGGTTAGGTGGCAGAAAGGCTGCCCAAACAGCGTCAAGGTCAGAGACCGTGGCAATGCCTGTGTACTGGGTGCCATCTCTCATAAAAGAGGAGCCATCAATGTATAGGATGTAGATGGGGCTTGGCAAGGGGGTGTCAGAAAGGTCACTGTGGGGTTTCTTCCCCATGTCAACAACAGAGAAACAGTCATGGAGATATACCTCTGTGGTAGGTGTATCAGGGATTAACATGACTAAGTTGAGAACTGAACAAGACTTTAGAGTCACATTTCCTTTGCCCAATAAAATTACTTCCTATCTAGCAAGTTTTTGATCAGAGAAAGCTTGAGTGCACTGTCTCAAGAAGTGATCCTCAGCCTCATTAGGGCACAAGCAGGTCCCTAAAACCAAATCATGGGGGAGCTAGGTGGCACAGTGGATAAAATACCCACCCTGGGATCAGGATGACCTGAGTTCAAATCTAGCCTCAGACACATAATATTCACTAGCTGTGTGACCCTGGTCAGGTCACTTAACCTGAATTGCCTTGCAAAAAAAAAGTCATATGCCTTCTCAACCAAAATGGTGGTGGCTGCTACCGCTCACCAACTGGGCAGAGCTTCTGCAGCCTCTGAATCTAGATGAGAAGCAAGCAGGGATCCAAGGGATTGAGTGAGGAAGCCTGAAGCCATCTGTTAATGTTCACATACCAAAAGAGAAAAAGGCTTACTATAATCTGGAAGTCTCAGTGCTAGGGCTGATGACAAGGCTTTCCTGAGGTCTGTAAGAGCAGTGAGGTGTTCTGGTTCAAGCTACACTGGTTCTGAAATGTTTTCTTTGGTTAGGAAAACTAGAGGCTGAATGATCTCACCAAAAGAGAACCCACTGATGGCAATATCCAGCTGCCCTGAAAAGAGCATGAAATTGTCTTCTGGTCGTGAGAACTGACCATTGTGGAAGAGTTTGTATGCGCTTTGGGGAAACAGAGCAAATGTCCACAGACAGAGTGAAACCAAGGTACTCCAAGGTACCACTGTACCTTTGATTTAGAAACCTCATCTCCCCTCAGCTAACACTGGAGAAGATGATGGCTGTTGTCTTAGCAAGCCTTGACACTGAATGCTGATAGGAGATCATAAATGGACTGAGCCAGAGAGGAGCCCTTGAAAGTGATGAAAGCTAAATGCTGTTGTAAAATTTGAGATAAAAAATGGAACTTTTTACATACCCTTGAAGCAGATGAGTCCACATCCATTGTGTGTTCTTCCAGGTGAAGGTCTAGGTACTGAGGTCTAGGTAAATGAGAATGCTTAAAAAAAAAAAAGCTGAGTGAAGATCTATCTGAGCGAAGCAGGTAGCCTCACAGGGAATTGAAGAGATAATGATTGCAAAGTTGTGAACTACTGGGTGTTTAGGTAGAACATAAGCACTAATAGTGCATAAATCTTGCACAGAGCAATAAACAGGTTTACCATCAGGGCCTGGCTTGGGTTTCTTAACAAGGAGGATAGGAATAGTCCACAGGGAGTCAAAGACATCAGGTGGAAAACTTGGACTCTATTCTGGACTCTCTCCAAGACATGGAAAGTTGGAGAACCACCAGGGGAAACGTAAGTTTACAGAGGAGATCATGGCCTAACAGGTTGAGGAGAAAGTGCTCCACTGAGAGGGACTCAAGAGTTACCACATGGGGAGACAATCTGGGGATGCTTTGAGGCCTCCTTGAGGATCCTGACAACATTTAGAGATCCAATAAAAGTACCATCAGAATCTGGTCTGCATATCAAAACTGAATTAGAAGTTCCAGTATCCAATAAGCAACTGTAAATTATGTCACCAACTTTAAGGGAGAGGTAGAGACCGAAATAGTTGAGGCAAAGACATCAGGATCGGGGAAAAATAAAAAATAAAAAATCCTTCTCAGAATCCTGTACTCTCATGCCAAAGACCCTCCCAGGGTTCCTCAAGGGTCCTCTCTATTCCTATTCCTTAAGTCTCACTTTCTCTTTCTACATTCTCTGGCAAGATGGCCCTTTTTGTGACAATAAAAGCACTGGTGCAGCCCCTACCCCCCTTCCCTGATGCATCTTGAATGGGATCCAGAGCTGCTTGGGCAGGGACCCAAGTTTGGAAGGGAGCCGAAGCTGCTTGGGTAGGGGCCAAGACTGTATGAGGTTTGGGCTTAGGTTTCTCCTCTTTATTTCTCCCTTCATAAACATATTGAGTGATGCTTTTAAGCTCACCAATACCCTTTTCATGCCATTCAGGGCAATTCTTATGAAAATATTTTTGTATTTCTGGCATGGATTGCCTAACAAAAGAGAATGAATAATTCTCATGTCTCTCAGATTGAGTGGATCTAATGCCACATACTGCTTAGCACTCTTAGACAACCTGTCATAAAAGTGGTTAGGGGTTTAATTTTCTTCCTAGGCAGTTTCTTGGAACTTACTCCAATTTTCAGAATGGATAGCTCATGCTTCCATGCCCCTGATCAAAGATTCCCTAGCTTGCTGCAGCAGGCAGAAATTTTAGGTTCCAATGAGGGTCTTGTAATGGCCAATTAGGAAGACCCACAGGGCCAGCAGATACTCCTCAATGATGGCAGTCCTTTCCCCAAGATAGCAAAGTCTCCATTAAATCAGTTATATCTCTCCAGCTAGAGTTGTAACCTCTAAAAATGGCCTAAAATTGGGTCATAATAGCCCCAGGAACATCAAATTTAGGAACATCTCTTCTCCATGTGGCAAAAAAGATCAAATCTCCTATCGTAGTAGGAGGGGGGACAAAATGGAGGAGGAAGAGGAGAAGCCAAAATGTTAGAGAGGTAAGTGCTAGGAGGAAGCAGTTGAAGAGGAAAGGACAGGACAGGATATAGAGAAGAAAGCCTATTGGAGGTATTGTGCATGGGAGTTCAGATAAAGCAGCCCAGCAAAATCATTATTTTATTTTGTATGGATAAGATTTCAATAGCTAGCCTAATGTTTTTAGTTTGCAATATTCAAAAGTGCCACATTGGAGCCAAAGCAAATTATCAGCTAAATCTCTTGAAGTTTTAGACTAAATTTCACATAATTCAATAGCATGCTTTTTTTGTCACTGCTGTTTGAACCAGGAGCATCCCCTGGTCTGGAGATATAAGAAATTTTTCCAGGAGAGTTCCCTTCAGAATGCTATTACCAGATCCTATCATTGCCTTAAGGGAGCTTTCCCAATAGTGTGGGACCTTATCTCAGTTTGAAAGAATTTGAGATTAAGGGGGAATCTGACTTCTGGGGCAGTCTTCTACCAAGAAGTACTTCAGTAAAAAATCAACCAGACCACACTCTAAGGAGTTCTAATAGGCCATCCCAGGGCCCAGGGCCCCCTCTCAATCTCCTGATTGGCTCACCAAAAACTGTCATGAGTGGATTTTAATTGAGGAAACAAAGTCCAAGGTATGTGATTTATTAGCAAAGCAGGCATAACAGACCAGGTCAAAGGCTCCTCAATAGGCACAAAGACCCTAAATACAGATTTTGCATGGATTTTTATACATTAAGAGAAAACAATAAATAAGATTCAAAACAGGATATAGGATTAAGTAATCTAATTTCTTATTGGAGGAAAGATTGGGTACTTTTCATATTGGGATGGGGAGAGTGAATGGAATTCCACCACATCAGATGATTTGTAGAAGACAACAAAATGGAGGTTGTTGGCAAAATAGAGTCAATGTTCACAAGACGGAGTCAATTTTGTTTCATAATACATATGATTACAAAGGAAACCAGTTACATTGAAATAGAGTTATCAAAATCCTTTTTTTTTTCTTTCTGGACACTAGGTAAGAACTCCTGATCCAGAGCATCGGAGGCTCTATTAGGGCAGACCCTAATCCAGAAACAACCAGATTTGCTTCAAAATACCACTATTTTGGCTACCATTATAATCTACAAACAATTATCTATTCAAAGAATTAAGACTACTCCTGGGGCTTCTCTAATTATAGTGTTAACACTTAGAAGCTCTTTTCCACCTGCTTCCACAACCCATGTTCAAGCAACATCATCTGAATGGTCATTAAAAGTCTAAAGAATGCTTGTTAGCTTCAATAATTTTTTGAAGGGTTTATGAGAAAATACTGAGAAAGGTATTTTTACTCATTATTAATACATACATAGAATTCAATTCCAGAATAGGGAGTATTAACAGCGGCGCAATAAAAAGAACATAGAACTTTTGGAGTCAATAGACCTGGGTTCAAACCACAAGGTCTTTCAATTGCTAGCTTTTGTGTTCTTGACCAAGTCACCTCAATTCCCTTGGTCTCAATTTCCTCATCTGCAAAATAAAGGAAATGGAGCACATGAGCTCATCACCATACTACTAACTCAAGCATTGACTGACTCTACCTCCCTCAGCCTCCTTTCTCTTCTCTCTCTTTTTTTTTTTGTTGTTTTTGCTTTTTGGTGAGGCAATCGGGGTTAAGTGACTTGCCCATGGTCACACAGCTAGTAAGTGTCAAGTGTCTGAGGTCAGATTTGAATTCAGGTCCTCCTGAGTCCAAGGCTGGAGTTCTATCCACTGTGCCACCTAACTGCCCATTCCTTTCTCTTCTGATTGGAGGAATGGAGTGTGGAGTAACAAACTCTCCCTAATGCCTTCCTGTAGGGAGGGGAGAAACGGGACTTTGGCTTACTCCACTCTGCATCTGCTTCACTGTCTGCTTTCAACTCCACAGAACATGATACCCCTGTATCAGATATCCTCTGGTCTCTTCCCCCAGACCCCTTCAACTTTCTTGCCTCTCTTTGCATTTTGTCTCCCTACCACCAGCACCACCACTAGATTGTGAGCTCCATGAGGGCAGGGACTTTCTTTCTTTTTCTTAATTTTATCTCCAGAACTTAGCACAGTACCTGGCATGTAGTAGGCACTCAAATGTTTATTGAATTGAAGTAGAACTCTAAAGGTCCCTTGTATACCCTAAATCCTATGATCTTTTAAAAATAGGAATAATAATCCCTGTATTACCTTCCTCACAGGGTTCTGTAAGGATCAAAGGAGATAATCCATGTAAAGTGCTTTGTAAACCCTAACATGTAATATAAATATTAACTATTATCTTTAGTATTGCCTTGTCCTCATGGCCCTTTGAGTACTGCTACTGATTTTGCAATATTCAGGGTCATCTTGTCCTTGATACTTGGAATATAATCCAATGGTGGGACTTGGCACCTAATCCAAACCATCTGGGGCCACATGACATGAATTTCTGGTCATTCATCCTAATGGGCATTTTGAAGGGCATACTTTCAACTGGTGGTCATTCCTCCAGAATCAATCAGGAAGACTTATCTTCATGAATTCAAATCCAACCTTTCTAGCTGTGTGACCCTGGGCAAATCACTTAACCCTGTTTACCTTAGTTTCCTTATCTGTAAAATGAGCTGAGAAGAAGATGGCAAACCACTCTAGCATCTTTGCCAAGAAAACTTCAAATGGAGTCATGGAGAGTAGGACATGACAGAAAATGAACAAAAACAACATGGTCATACAGCTGCTGTGGCAAGCTGTGTTGCTGTTTGAGGCAAGATTCAAACCCAGGTCCAGAATGCTTTCTACCGTATCACCCCATTTCCCTTCTGAAAGCCCACTGATAATAAACACACATTTATATAGCTCTTCACTGTTTCTTTATTGGCTTATGAAGAGCTTTACATATCATCATAATGTGTCTAGAAGGCATTTGCTGAATTAGCTCATTTCATACACATAGCAGCCTGGGTAGAGTTGGAAAAGATATGTAAGACAGGTTTTTTGGCAAACTATGGCCCAAGGGCTAAACCTAGCCATAGGGCCCTTGAGCTAAGAATGTTCAAAAAAATGTATATGTGTATGTGTGTATGTGTGTATGTGTGTGTGTGTGTGTGTGTGTGTGTGTGTGTGTGTGTGTGTGTATACTTTTAAAAACCAAAACTTTATTTTAAAATGTTAAAATTATTCTTAGCTGGCCAGCTGTTACAAAAACAGGTGGGCTGGATTTGACCTTAAAGAAGGGTAGCTTCAGGGAGGGATTAATTACAAACAAAACAAACTCTAATATCAGAAGGTGGATCATTAGGAGAAATTTTAACAGAAAAAAAGGGTCAAAACCTTCGGAGTCTGGTAAAGAGAAGAAAAAAGGGTTTGGATGCAGAATCCGTCAAGCATGGAACACTTGTATAAAGCACAATCCTTCTTTCTTCCAACCCTCTTCTTATTTGTAAAGAAAGGGGCTGAACAGGAGGTGCAAAGAGAGGACAAAGCGTAAGAGAACAGAATGGGTGGAAATACAACATGGATAATTATAACTGTGAATGTGAATGTAATATCTCCACCAAAAAACTGAAGAGGATAACCAAATGGATTAGGAAGCAGCATCCAATATGTTGTTTACAGCAAACACACCTCAAACCTAAAGATTTACTCCGACTTAAAAGTAAAGGGCTGGGGCAAACTTATTTGTTGTTGCTGTTGTGGTTCGTCCTTCGATGTCGGAGAGGACCATGACATCAGGAAGGTGATGTCATGACTTGCAAGTGAATTGGATTTCAGTGAGGGAGGGCTGTGAAGGAGGGGAGGGGAAGGGATCATCATCTCCACCAAGGTAAAAATAGACTTGATAAAAAGAGATAAATAAACATGAAAACTAGATTATGCTGAAAGGCACCATGGACTATGAATTAATATCAATTCTGACATATATGTACCAAATTGCACAGCATCTAAATGCATCAAGGAAAAGCTAAGTCAGCCACCCAAGGTTTTTATTCTCATTTTACAGATAATAAACCTGACATTCAGAGAGGTTAAGTTAATGCCTGACAGTGCTAGTAAGAAGCACACTTTCAACAACTCCACAAAT